GCCTTGAGGAGTGGGGGACTGGGGGACTACATCGGCCTCCACATACATGAAATCATCCAGAAAGCAACAAAAAGCAAGGACTACCAAGTGGTACCTCCGTCGGCCATGTCTTCATCGGTCAGAAGAAGGTCTGGGGGACTACATCGGCCTCCAGCGTAAAGAAACAAATTCAAAATCCAACGAACACAAGCCCATGACAATGGCACCTCAACGTCCAACAACCATGTGTTCACCCTTCGGCCAGGCCGAAGCGCAAAGCAGGACACACATCGTCCTCAGGATTAAGGGCACATCATCCTTGGAGCCAAGGACACTCCTCAAGGCCAATGGCACACATCGTCTTCAAGACAATGACAAGAACACCACAAACGTCCACCTTCGTCCAGAGCGCAAGGCAGGGCGCATATCATCCTCCAAGCCAAGGACACTCGTCGTCCTCAAGATGAAGGACATTCGTCGTCCTTGAAACGAAGGGCGCTCGTCGTCCTCAAAGTGAAGGACGCTCATCGTCCTCAAGGCGAAGGACACCCATCGTCCTAAAGATGAAGGACATTCGTCGTCCTCGAAACGAAGGGCGCTCATCGTCCTCAAGGTGAAGGACACTCATCGTCCTCGAAACAAAGGACACCCATCGTCCTCAAACAAGAGATAACTACAATGGCCTCATCAGCCCGAAAGGGAAGTTCAAACCATCAACGACCAAGGATAGACACTACCTTCGTCGGCCACTCATGCCGGAACACTCATCGTCCGCAAACAAGCGCATCAAAGGAGTAACAGCCTTCCTCGTCCACATCAAGGAACGGGTAAAGGCCAAACTCAGAACAGGGCCACCAAACGCCACAACAGGGAACGGCCAACGTGGTCCCGCATCGGCCAAGAGCATCAAGCAAAGAAATTTACTCTCCTTCACTTCGTCTACATCTCAGCTTAGAGAGTGGGGGACTCCTGATGGAGTATATGGGTCTAGGCCCCAGGACCCACATACTCAGAAGAACGGAAGGTACCATGATCACTGGGTGACCTCTTCGGCCATGCCCTCATCGGCCATGCCCTCATCGGCCAGGAAAAGATCTATCCAGAATGTGATCCTGAAGCCCGGAGAACCGGGTTCCCTCATCGGCCATGCTCTCATCGGCCATGCCCTCATCGGCCAGGAAAAGATCTATCCAGAATGTGATCCAGAAGCCCGGAGAACCGGGTGCCCTCATCGGCCATGCTCTCATCGGCCATGCCCTCATCGGCCAGGAAAAGGTCTACTCAGAATATGATCCAGAAGCCCGGAGAACCGGGTGCCCTCATCGGCCATGCTCTCATCGGCCATGCCCTCATCGGCCAGAAAGAAGACCACCCAGAATATGATCCAGAAGCCCGGAGAACCGGGTGACCTCGTCGGCCATGCCCTCATCGACCATGCCCTCGTCATCCACAGATAGCCTCTAGAACAGGATTTTATACTTATCATTTCTATATACTTTGTATCCGGCCCATTAGTGGCCCTGTTGTAAATGGGCCTCCCAAGCCCAAGACTTGGGAGCCCAGCCCTAATTTTCTCTATAAATACTCCCCTTGGGAGTAGTTGTAAGGGTTCACAAAATTCATTCTATTGAAGCATATCTTGCACTTCTCTCTCTAGCTCTCACTTCTCTCTAGAATCTAGGAGTTAATACTCCATCAACTTCCATCCGGTTTGTATTTTGTTCTATAGATGCATTTTAGGCCTATAACTTTCTTCTCCTTGGGCAGACTTACAAGCTCCCAAGTCCCATTCTTCTCTATAACACTCATTTCCTCTTCCATGGCCTTCTGCCACTCTGGCTGAGGGATTGCTTCATCAAAATATGTAGGTTCAGCAGCAACTAGAGCAAAATCACAGCTTTCATAGATATCAATCAATGATCTTACCTTGTGTGGAGGAGATTCACTTGAGTTACTTGATAAAGATGAGGGGGAGCTCTAGTTGCTTGAGGATGCAGATGAACTGTGTGGAGTTGAGGGAGGATTAGGCTGTAGATGTTCTTCAGTAGGTTCATCAATTTCCTCTTCAGTAACTATCTTTCCCAAACTTCCACTAATTTGATTAGCCTGATTCCAATCCCATTTTACATCCTCATCAAAGACTATATTTCTACTAACAAGTACTTTTCTTGTGAGAGGATTATACAACCTGTAAGCCTTGGACTGAGTTGAATAACCAACAAAGACGCATTTCTCAACTTTAGCATCTAACTTGGTTCTCAGATTCACCAAGGTGTAGGCAATGCACCCAAATGTTCTTAGGTGATTGACTGAGGGATTCTTTTGTTTCCAAGCTTCAAATGGTGTTGAGTTCATCACTGCTCTAGTAGAACAGATGTTTAGAATGTAAACAGTTGTTGCAACTGCTTCTCCCCCAGAAGAAATTAGGCAGACTTTTAACATTCATCATGCACCTAGCCATTTCAATTATGGTTCTATTTTTCCTCTCACCCACCCCATTTTGTTCAGGGGTGTAGGGTACAGTGAGCTCTCTTCTTATGCCATGATCATCATAGAACTGGCTGAATTCTTTTGAGACAAACTCACCTCCCCTATCAGTTCTTAAGGCTTTACTTGCAGACCACTTTGTTTTACTACTAAAGCCTTAAATTTTCTAAAATTTTCAAAAGCTCCTGACTTAGTCTTTTGAAAATACACCCATGACATTCTACTATAATCATCTGTGAGTAGAAAGAAGTACTTACTACCATCCAGAGACTCAGTTGTATAGGCCCACAAAGATCAGAATGTATCAGCTCCAAACACTCACTAGCGCTCCAAGCCTTGCCACTTGGACATGAACCTCTAGCCTTGCCAAATGTTGTACAAAGCCTATGAAGAACTATACAAATATATATAGAACTGGAGAAGAAAAGAGGTTATCAAGCTCATATATATTATTGATAATCAATAGGCTTTATATAGCCTTTACAAGAATGAAACCAAGTAAGCACGTATAACAACTAACTCCTATAATTACGCTAAGCCAAACATTTGAATACGTGAATAAATGAAGACCAAATCAAAAGACTAAACTTCAGCTAACCACTTAGACTTATTGATAATGATAATAATAATAAAGAATAAAGTAATATTCTACGTATGCATGGCCTTAAATCCGTTTTGCATGCAAGCTTGATCACTTGCTCAACACGAGTAACTGTGGTTGTTACCAGTGGCAGGTCACCAAGGCAGTAGGTATCAGAAAAAATAGATCAATGGTGGCAGTGATGGCTTGCAGTAATCACTAATCAACGGTAGTTACTATCCGAAAGTGGTCACTATTCAATGTTGATCATTGAACAACAATTGGTCACTAGGGATTTTGTCGAGATCACTCGTAATAACTACTTTAGTTTAAATGGCATCAAAGTCATCTTACTTTTTTTTTGGAAATTCTTAAAACTAATCTTATTTTTGTCCACTGTTTCTCGTTTAGCAACATTTTTGCCAATCCCCATTTTTATTAAATTTCAATCTTATTTTAATAGAGAATCGTGAGATTTTAAATATAAGAAATAAATGGTTTTGACATGAGTAATAATACTATAGAAATCTAATGACAAAAATCAAAATAATTTAATTTGAAATGTTGTTGAGACCACTAGCTAGCTCCGGGTAATGCCTCATCTGCCACCGGCGAGTGACACAGCCGCCCTCGACTAGTGATTAAGGTCAGTGGCGGAAGTAGCTATGGGCTTGGGGGTGCATCAGCCCCTGCAAATTTTTTTATTTATTTATAATATATAGAGTAGTGTTTCGGTCAGGAACTCGTGACCGGAACCGCCATCCGGACGGCGGCGTTTGACAGTATTTTCGGTAGAATTTTTTGATGAAATTTTTATGGCATGTTCTTCGTCAAATCTAGTTTATCCACAAAAAAAATCAGCTAAAAATTCAATCGTGAAGGTCGTCAAATAATTTTTGGAATTTAACTGCGCTGGAAAATACATATAAAAAGCAGTTAACTTTCAAAACTTATTTGCGACCTTCCCAATTTAGTTTTTAGGTCAATATTTTTGTGGATAAACTAGACTTGATGAAGAACATACCATAAAATTTTGATAAAACAAAGTCGACCGCGAACCATCCCAAACGGTGGCATCCGGACGGGGGTTCTGGTCCGGAATTCCGGACCTGAACTTCTCTCTCTATATAGTATATATATATATATATATATATATATATATATATATATATATATATAATTGCGTGATATATATGATTTCTTTGTGAATGAGCCCCTTCAAGTAACGAATCCTGGTTCCGCCACTGATTAAGGTGTTCACATTGTCTCCACCTCCGTCTAGTGACAGTGCCATCGCCTAGTAGTACAACCCCAAATTTAATACTCCCTCCATCTCATATTTATCTTCGAAGTTCGATTTACGATGCTTGACTGACGATAAAGCAACTTGATCCTTGTTCACACTCAGATTATTTTTAGTAAATTAAATTCACATATTCAAAAACTACATTAAATCCGCTACAAAGGCTGATCAAGAAAATTTAAGTTTGATAAAAATTTGATATATAAAATCAAAGATTAAGAGTAATTTGAATTGACCGTGTGAATAGTAACTATGAAGATAATTTTGAGACGGATGGAATATGTATTTTCTCAAATTTAATATGTATATTCTTTCAAAAAACATTTTAATTTATTAGTATTATTATTCCTAGTAAATATTTAGATCATTCATGTATGGTCAACCCAATATCTACACGAACACCTATAGAAAAAATCAGCGTGATTTACATTCTCCCATGTACCCTGTCAGGTAGGGGTGTGAGGGTCGAGAGGTTCCACCTTTTTTTGGATCAAGACACCTATAGAAACCAAGCAAAGCATGATTGAAATTAAACCACCGACAAAGAAGCTGCCTATATTAATTACCTCGGAGTAAGTACTTAGGCAGGCCTACCCATTGCCCCGTACGCGGCATTTACTTATTTATAGGTCAAACTTCGATTCCTTTTGCGACACTGATTTTAAATTCATACCCATCCCGCAATAACTCCTTCTCTATGGACCAATTGAAACCCAGCCGGCCCAATTCCTGTCCCTTGACGCCGTTATCCTTTCTCCAACGGGCTTCCACTATTTACGGCGAATGCGCCTCCGTCGTCCACAACTCCACCGTCTACACGTGGTCCGACACCTACACTCGATGCCGCCGCCTCGCTTCCGCCATCGCCTCCATCCTCGGCTCCGGGAGTGGCCATGTCGTCTCCGTCGTCGCCCCCAACATCCCGGCCACCTACGAGCTCCAGTTCGCCGTCCCGATGGCCGGCGCCGTTATCAACAACATTAACACCCGTCTTGACGCCCGGACAATCTCCGTGATCCTCTCTCACGGCGAATCTAAGGTTGTCTTCGTCGATTTCCAGTTTTACCCTCTGGTTCTCGAGTCAATTTCTATGTTGCCACGTAACGGTCAACGCCCATTGTTGGTCCTGATCGAAGATGGTCAAGACATAGTCAAAATCGACAAAAAAAATAACGGATCCGTCTACGATACTTACGAGGCGTTGTTGGAAACCGGAGATTCCGGATTCGAATGGATCCGACCCGCTGGAGAATGGGACCCGATCACACTTAATTACACCTCTGGCACCACTTCATCTCCGAAAGGAGTAGTCCACTCTCACCGGTCAATCTATGCTATGACCGTTGACTCTTTGATAACCTGGTTCGTCCCGGACCGGCCGGTTTACCTGTGGACACTACCCATGTTCCACTCCAACGGGTGGTGCTTCACTTGGGGCATGGCGGCGGTCGGCGGCACCAACATTTGCCTTCGGAAAATCGAACCGGACACGGTCTACTCGTATATCGAGAAGTACAACGTTACACATATGTGCGGCGCGCCGGTGGTACTCAACATGTTGGCCAATTATCCCCGCGCCAAGCCGCTCAAGTCCCCCGTCAGATTCCTCACCGGCGGCGCTCCACCGCCGGCGTCCGTGGTTCTACGCATTGAATCGCTCGGATTCGTCGTGAACCACGGGTACGGGCTGACGGAGGTCTCGGGGGTGGTGGTTTCCTGCGCATGGAAGCCGAAATGGAATGGATTAACGGCGGAGGAGCGGGCGAGGCTGAAGGCAAGGCAAGGGGTGAGGTCGTTAGGGATGATGGCGGTGGATGTGGTGGAGGAGGGGTCTGGGAAGAGCGTGAAGCGGGACGGGATCACGGTGGGGGAGATCGTGATGCGGGGACATTCTATAATGTTGGGTTACCTTAAAAACCCCGAGGCTACGAAAAAGACCATGAAAGACGGCTGGTTCTACACAGGCGACGTCGGGGTGATGCATCCGGACGGGTACCTGGAAATAAAGGACCGGTCGAAGGACATCATAATCACCGGCGGGGAGAATGTGAGCAGTGTCGAGGTGGAGTCGGTTCTTTACTCCCACCCAACGGTGTTTGAGGCGGCAGTGGTGGCTCGGCCGGACGAGTTCTGGGGAGAAACACCGTGCGCTTTTGTAGCTCTGGATCCAAACATCAACAACTGCCCTGAACGGGAGAAGCCGACCGGGAATGACATTATAGAGTTCTGCCGGGAAAGGCTGCCGCATTATATGGTGCCGAAAACGGTGGTTTTCATGGAAGAGCTGCCGAAGACGTCGACCGGAAAAGTTCAGAAATTTGAGCTGAGAGGGATGGCGAAGAAGTTGGGGACACTGGGCATTAGTAGTAGAATGTAACCAGCAACGACCACGATCCAATTACTCCCGTCAATTATCTTTTTCCTTCATTTTCTTACATTTGTTTTTCATGGTATATATGCTAAGATATAAAGTTATAAACTCAAATGTTTGTAATTTTTCATACTACTATACGACTAATATATACGGAGTAAATAGGTAAAACTAATACTATCCTCCTGATCTCATTAATTGCAACATTGGAATATATACACTATTAATGTACTTTACTTTGACTACATTTTATTTATTAATGTATGTGAATTACTTTTTTTGAAAAATGTTGTTAAATTCGTCTCATTACAAAGTTTTATAATCTAATTTTTATTTTATTTTTACTAATATAGAATTAAATATATGACGGTCAAAATTGTGCGTTGACAAACGTGAAATGTTGACTGTTGCAATTAAAAAAAGACGAAGGTATACTACTATACGACTAATATATACGACTACTACATTCCACTGATTCTGTGCAATATTTGAGATTGAGCTGTTTATTTTTTTAATGATGATTGAACTGTTTATTACTCCGTTTGATTGTGTCAATTTTCACCTTTTACTTGTCCCCAAAAACTTTTTCATTTTTTTACTAAGATAATTAATTTATGGTTTTGCTGATTTTCTATCACCTGCACAAAAATCAATCACATAACTTTAACTATTTTTATTTGCCGTCTAATTCTAAGTTAACAAAGTTCACCGAGATGGATGTGATGGTATTATTATTGTTATGAGTTCCTATCTTATTAAAAACGTTTATGGTTTTAATTATTCCCCTCGTCCCGCTAAGATTGTCCCATTTTACCTTTTCAAGAAGTCCCACTAAGATTGTCCTATACCAAATTTGGCAAAGATTGTGTGGCTCTAAATCATTCTTACTTTATTCTTACTTTATCAATTTAATATCAACCATACAAACTCACTTTTCTTAATAATCGTGCTACATTCTCTTGTTCCGATCTTAGTGGGGCAGAGTTAGTAACATTTATCTCTTTCACCTATTGCTAGTCCGTAGCTGATTCCAAATTAACTCAATGGGTAGTTCACTCCCTTAGCTTCATTCGATTTGTTGTCTTGTTGATCAATTTTCGTGTTTGGTAAAACATCCTCCATATAATCTGAACAATGAGAAAATATGCACATAGATAATTAAAGGAAAAATTAGACTAGGCTAATATCAAGATTTCATAAAAAAATTTCACACACACATAGCTAATGTTATAAAACTAGAAAACATTGCATTTATCAGCTTGTAGCACCCAAAACGCAGAAAAACAAACGGACCAATTCATCTTAGCTTACTACGCCACTGCACTAGTAGAGCTTAGCCTATACTTCCTCTGGTCCTAAATAAACTTCATACAAATTAAAGAAATAAATTTGACTTTACTGTAGAGTCCACTGTTGTGACACTGTTTGACACTGTTTGACACTGTTTGGCACTGTTTTGATGTAGATAATTTGCCAAATAAGGAAGGGAGAAGAAGTGTGAAGTTTATTTTGGACATACCTAAAATGGAAAGTGTGAAGTTTGTTTAGGACTGGAGGGAGTACTATCTACATAGGTAGTGCAATTCATCTTGTGAAAAGTTAAGACAGGAATACTTGAAAATCTTTGGGATCTATCTGATGGATAGTGTACCCGGGGTAGCTTATCCGAGGGGTTATTGCGGAGAATAACTAGAGAGAAGTCAGAGCAAATGAGTAAGAGAGAGAGAGAGTGTATATTCGATATGTATTAGGCGTGGTTTACAATGAGGGAAAGAGGTGCTATTTATAGTAGTAATAAATGCTAGATAAGGACACGTGTCAGTTTTCTGGTGGTCGAGGGGTCACCTCGACCGGGGTGGCACTGGCACTCGCATGTGGCCGCATTAAATGCGGTGGTTGGATGTGACGTTTGTACTTGGTACGGTGATCCATGCGCATGTGAAGAGGATATTCTGTCGAGGTGGATGCCTTCGGCTGAAGGGTGCTGGGCCGAAGGCTCTTCTAACCGAGGGCTCCTACCTGCCGAGGGCTGCAGGTGCCGAAGGCTTGGTTTCCAAGCCTTGTTCTTCTGTGATGCCTCTTCTAACCGAGGGCTCCTACCTGCCGAGGGCTGCAGGTGCCGAAGGCTTGGTTTTCAAGCCTTGTTCTCTTGTGATGCCTCTTCTGACCGAGGGCTCCTACCTGCCGAGGGCTGCAGTTGCCGAAGGCTTGGTTTTCAAGCCTTGTTCTCCTGTGATGTTTCTGAGCTCGATTCCGTCACTGGTAGCTTTCGGCCATGGGGCCGAAGGCCCCCCCTTTGCGTATTGTGGGCTGCTTAGAGCTCCATTTTTCTGGGCTTGGCCCGTTTGGGCCTGTTGGACCTGATTGTAGTAGAGGAAGTATGTGGGCCGGGGGTCCCTAGGCCATATACTCCATCACTATCTTTACACATTTGTCAATATCACTACAAACTAATGTCAATAGTTGGGAACTTTCCGAGATCGAACCTTCACCCAATTCTTTGAAAATTGTGCACTTTGTAACGTGTAAGCTCATAATTAGAAAAGACATACCAAAAACTTTATACTACGTGAGTTTTTTGAATTTTCTCAATCCTTTATTGTTCTCAAAACTTTTGCGTTTACCTTTCAATAAGCTTTAGCATTTAAAGTCTTTGGCTTAGATCTGTTAAAATTCCTCCACTGTTCATTATTTATTGTTGTATTATAAAAAACTTCTACGAATTGAAGTAGTACTATACAAATCTATTCATCAATATGTTTTTGACCTCAAGCTTAAAAGAAAGAATGCTCTGATGATCAGGGATGGATTTAAGGGGACGGGGGTGCGACCGCCCCCCTTAGACTTTCAAAATTTTCTACTATATATGTAATGTTTTTGTAAAATTTTGATACTTTAATTAGATTCGCCCCCTTAATTTTTTTGTTGAACATTGCCCCCCTTAACTTTTAGTTTTTAAAATTAATATATAGTCTTACATAATGTAATACTTAATCGGAGATTTAAAAAAGAAACATCTAAAGTAATTTACATAACTTAAATAAACAATAGAAGAACTCATTATTTGAGATTTAGGATACTTATTATATAAAAATTCTTAGTTTTGTAATGTTTAATTATCTTTATTCGATAACTAGTAAACAATTTTGAAAAATATATATCAAACGATATTAAATACCAGAGACTCTAGCTACAAAGTTTTTAAAACATGTGAAGTGAATCCAAATTATAAATGTTTATTGACATTGAATTACACTATTCATTTACTTCTTACATTCTAAAAAGACTTTATTGCATAGATAATAAACTTTAATTATTTTAGCATTAATACAAATATAATATGCACTATATATATGAATTATCAATATAACATTATTCTAAAAATAATAATATCATACATACTATTTTAATATTAAAAGAACTACTTGTGACTTATGAACACCCTCAATGATAGACAAAAATTGTAATTCAAAAATCAATTCTTTATTTCTATAAGACTCGTGTAGTTAAACAATATTGAAATTATTTTAAAAGTACTCGTGAATGTGAACCTTATAAACTCTTTATATTTAAATAAAATTGTATATATTCTTTTTTATTTTTGTATTATTTTCCATTGATTTGTCATTTCTTATGCTTTAATGTATCAATACTTTTTTCTAGAGCACTCCAATTATAAAATTAAAGTTATTTTGTCATTGTCTAAATTTAGAATGTAATATATAGATTTAAATGTCGTCACATATGTATTAATGAATTTTTTTTGAATAAAAATAGCCGCAGAGCCTTACACTAGTGAAAAAATTCGCCCCGCTACACTAGAAAAAAAATTCGCCCCTCTACACTAGTGAATTTTTTATCTCCTACACTAACGAAAATTTTTGCTAGGTGTATGAGTTTACTTAATTGTATATATCATAGCATGTCGTATAACTAAAAAGGTTATCCATGTTGTAGTCTTTGCATATATATTGATGAGTGTTTGGAACAAGTAAGGAAACACGTAGATCACAACTTAGCGGGTTACATTATTTCTTTGACAATTCAAAGCACGTCCTATGTTTTAGAGGGATCCTTCACGATGATTGCATTATCATTACCTTCATTTTAACCAAAAGTTTGTGTTAGGTATGAAATAAGAAAAGTAAAATTATATGTTTGAAAGTTGTGCAACAAAATAAGCAAAATTACAAAAAAAAAAACTTTGGCAAAGTTTTAGAAAGAATCAAGCAATTAAAGTAGAAAAAATGGCACGAAAATAACAATCGGGGTTTTGATTTCCCAAAATATGACCTATTTACATTTTGACAAAAATATCACCATTAAAAGTATCTTTCGTCTCCCAACAACAAAATCACACAACCTTCTCTCTTCGCCATGACGATTCACTCTCAACACAAGCATTGCACTTCACTCTCAGTACAGCCATCCATGGTGCTTCTTCCTCTCCGCCGCCATAAGCCACAGACCATGGCGCCACGCCGATCATCCTTTATCTCTACACAGGGTCGAGGCACCTTTTCTACTCCCACGGCCATGGCTCCTCTCCGGCGGTCTGACTCTCTAAGCCTCGACTTGCCTCTGTTGCAACAACCGGACCTGTATTCTTCTTCTTCTTTAACTTTCTTGACCGCAAATCACTGCCACATCGCCATTGTAGAGCAGATCTAGCCACCAATTGAGATTTCAGGTCAAATGTGGGAGCTTTTCCTTCTTAATCTCAGATTTGAGTTCGTGCGACAACGCAGATCTAGTGTGGGCAAATGAGACAGTGTCGGGCTGGGTAACTCAGGTGGGGTAGGGGTAGGTGGATGGGGTGAGGCTGGAGGCTAAGACGTGGCTTAAGGGGTTGTGTTGCGGCATTGGTGGGTGGAGCTGGGGTTCGTCATTGCTGGGCGGGGCCGGAGATGGTGTTGTGCGACTGGGGAGGGTGTTGTGGGGGCTGAGGCTGGTATTGTGGGCCTTGGAGGGTGTTGTTGGGCTGGGGAGGGTGTTGTGGGGAGGGGGGGTTGGGTTGGGGCGGGACTGGTTACGCCTGAGTCACCTGTGACGTTGGGCTTGACAATGACAGAGTCACTGTAACAGAGTCATTGTTGCCCGAAGTCACTGTGACGGTGGAGTCACTACCCGAGTCACTTTAATCGAAGTCACTTTGATCAGAGTCACTGAGATAGTGACGAGCGGCGGCGGCCGTGACGTCAGTGGCGGCCACGGAGGTGCTGGTAGCTGCAAAATATGGACTACTAATCAATATATAAAAGGAATATTAACATAATAAATTTATGATTAAATACAAGGAAT